AACACCCAAAAGGAGAGAGAGAACAAGAGGGAATGCCCTGCCACAGAGGCAGGGTGGGATGGGGGGATGGGTGTGGGAGGGATACTGGGATCCATGGTGGTGGAAAATGAGCACTGGTGGAGGGGTGGGTATTTGATCATTGTATAATCGAAACCCAAGCACAAAAATTTGTAAATCTACAACTGTACCTCCTGGTGTTTCACTAATAAAAATTTTTAAAAAGTAATAAGACTGGCACAGCTAGCTAGCTACAAAATCAACATGCAAGCATCAGATAGTCTTATATACTTAAATAACAGATTTAAATTTATAATTCCCAAAACACAATATGTATCCCTAACAGTATCTATAATATCACTTAATCACTTAACTTCCCGTTAGTCGTCGAGTTGCTCGAGCGGGCGCCAGTAACGTCTCCATTTGTCCCTGTCGAGTGCTAGTGTAGCCCAATGGCATCTGTTCGCTCCGGGAACATGAAGGGCCTCAAACTGATTGTTCATGATCTTGATGAAGAAGTCTGACCATCTGGTAGGTGGGCGGCCACGCAGTCTTTTGACATCCTTCTACATCCTTCTACAAGATCATTGTGGGTGATTTTAATGCCAAGATAGGACCGAGAAGATCAGCTGAAGAACTTCACATCGGGACCCATGGCCTAGAATGGAACGAACAGGGTGAGAGACTGTCTGAGTTCATCATGTCGACCAAGACCATTCATGGTAACTCACAGTTCCAGAAGGCAGAATCTAAACGATGGACATGGGAGTCTCCCGGTGGACGATTCCACAACGAAATAGACCACATCATATTCAATCGACGGTTTTGCCTGACTGATGTCGCTGTTGTCCCAAAATTTCGAACGGGATCGGACCACCGTCTCCTTCGTGCAAAATTCTACTTCACAGAGCGGGGAGAAAGGGCTGCAAAGTTCAAAAAGAGAACTCCCAGAATGACCACCAACTGGGAACTCTTTGGTACTATTGCGGCAACATGGGAAGATGCCATTGTTGACAACATTGACGAGGAATACGATCGACTGGTTCAGCACCTCCATGAATGTGCGAGGAACGCCAAGAGAGAGATAGCCACAAAAAATCACCTATCTTCGAAAACTCTTGAGCTAATTCGCCAGCGTGGTTTGGCGCATGCCTCAGGCAACCGCAAGCTAACGTCCGAGCTCGCAAAGCAGTGCAGAGATGCAATCAAGGAAGACCTCAAAGAGAGAAGAGCAGAAGTACTGGTAGATGCGGCAGAAGCCGGGAAAAGTATTCGTAACGCCTGCCTGTCCTTCGCCAACTATAAGACCAAGATGACTGCCCTCCGATGTCCTGATGGATCCATCACATCCTCCAGAACGGCAATGGAGAAGATTATCTATGACTTCTACTCAAATCTCTTCGATAGCCATGTCCACTTGCCGACATACCAAATTCCACAGGATGGATATGTCGTTCCCAACGTTCTCCCTTCCGAAATCCGACACGCCATTTCATCGGTAAAGAAACAAACAGCACCCGGCCCAGACAAGGTCAGACCTGAACACCTGAAGAACCTGCCGTCAGTACTCATCTATAATATATCCAGAAATAAATCTAATAAAATGTAAAATATCTATTAGAAGAATCTTATAGTACTGTGTTGAAAGGTATTAAAACCACTAGGTGAAATATCCTGTTCTTAGATAATTCATTCTCAATTTCATCAACGTGTTAAGTCTCCCATATGTGGTTTATTGATTTATGACTATTTCATCATAGTTTTTTTTCTGGAACTGACAAACTGGTTCTAAATTTTATGAAGCACACAGTTATTAATAACAAGTAAGGTACTTGTGATAAAAAATAATAAGATGCTGAAGAAGAAGCAAGGACTTGTCCTACATATGTCAGTGTCGTTTTGGTGTTGAGACACTGAATGCCCATGGTCATTAAAAACTTCATAAATAGCAGCGCCTGTATGAAATAATTAAATATGACTTCTTATAAAGCTATAAGTACTTATGACTATGTAGTGCTGGCATAGACAGATTGACCAGTAAATCACAATACAGAATCAAGAAACAGATCTAGAGTAAAAGTTGTAGTTCAGCAGGTAAAGTGCTTTCCTTGCATGTGGTCGATTGGCACCAGATACTGTCTCCTCAAGGTCTGCCAGGAGTAATCCCTGAGCACTGGTGGGTCTTGACCCAAAAAAGAAAGAGAGAATGTGAGTAAGAGAGAAAAAGAGAGAGAAAGAGGGAGATAACAAGAAAGAGAGAGAGGAAAGAAAGAGGATAGAAAGGAGACAAAAGGAAGGGGGTGGGAAGACGGAGAAAGAGAATCCTAGATGTAGAAAAATTCAGTCTAATTAGAGAAAAGGGAAATGTGAAATACAATGAAAACAATTTCTTATTTTATATACCTGGATTAAACAAAAATTAATTTGACAATACCAAACTTTGAAGAGGTCATGGATACTATGAATTTTCACACATTGTTAGCAGAAGTGTAAGTGGGTTCTTTAATTAAGATGGCTAGAATTATCCTGCAGAGCTGAACATTTACGAATTGTTCAATCTGGGTTTTCCTTCCTGGGTATAATTCCTTAGGAAAACTTCAATGTGCACGGGATTATATGTAAAAATTGTCCTATCAATCTTATTAGTCATAGCAAAAATTGGATTTATAGATACCCATCAACACAATATTGGATAAACTATGATATAGTATTATACTATAATATTACTTTAAATATAGTGGCATATATTTAACATTATTATAGTGTAGTTAAATGTAGGGGCTGGAGCGATAGCACAGCGGTAGGGCGTTTGCCTTGCACGCAGCAAACATGGCCAACCCGAGTTCGATTCCTCCGCCCCTCTTGGAGAGCCCGGCAAGCTACCGAGAGTATCTCGCCCGCATGGCAGAGCCTGGCAAGCTACCCGTGATGTATTCGATATGCCAAACACAGTAACAACAAAGTCTCCAATGGTGATGTTACTGGGCCCGCTCGAGCAAATCAATGAACAACGGGAGGACAGTGACAGTGACTAAATGTAAAGCATTCCTTATTGATACTAAGGGTAAAATATGCCTTATGAAGCTACTTAGATGAATTTACGCACTGTAATGCTGAGTGAAAAAAGTACCTAGAATACTCCATCTACACAATGGAGTACTATGTAGCTCTTAGAAAAGATGAAGTCATGAAATTTACATATAAGTGGTATAATATGGAAAGTATCATGCTAAGCGAAATGAGTCAGAAAGAGAGGGATAGACATAGAAAGATTGCATTCATCTGGGGGATATAAAGTAACAAAGTAAGAGATTAATACCCAAGAATAGCTGAGATCAGCACCAGGAGGATTACTCCATAACTTAGAGGCCAGCCGGGTATCCTAGATGAAAGGGCAGTTCAGATAGAGAAGGGAGCACCAAATAAAGGATGTTTGGAGGATCCTCCCAGGAGGGGAGATGCATGTCGAAAGTAGACTATGGACTGAACATGTTTGCCACTCAATGCCTCTTTTGCAGACCACAACACCCAAAAGAAGAGAGAAAACACAGGGGATTGCCCTGCCACAGAGACAGGGGGGATGGGGGGATGGGGGTGGGAGGGATATTATCCATGGTGGTGGAAAATGGGCACTGGTGGAGGGATGGGTATCTGATCATTGTATAATTGAAACCAAAGCACAAAAAATTGTAAATCTACAACTTTAAAAAAAAATAAAATACAATAAAGGGAAAAAAAAAGAAAAAAAAAGTACCTAGAATACTGTGTGAATATTATTACATTTAAATGAAGTTCAAAACAAAGAAATTCAGACAGTATTTTGTTGGGGCAAAATCACTTGTGATAATTTTTTTAATTATTTATTTATTTATTTATTTATTGAATCACTGTGGGAAAAGTTACAAAGCTTTCAGGTTTAAGTCTCGGTCATGCAAATATCAAACACATTTCCCTTTACCAATACTTATTTTTCACCACGAAGAACCCTATTAAACACCCCCCAACCCTCCCAATGCCTGTGAGGCAGATGAATTCTAGTTAACACTCTATCTACTTTGACTAGATTCATTGTTTCGATAAAAGATGCACCATTATTATTTAGAGTTTACCCCCCCAATCAGACATGTTGAAAAAGCATTGTGAAATGATTTTCTTTCTACAGCTGGGTTCAAGAATTAAATGATGTGGCGCAGCCGCAATAGCAGCCACGCGGTTTTGGATTTCTGCTATTTTACTTATTAATCCTGGAAATATTTCTACTGAGAGTCAGATAATTTAGAGATTGGTTTCTGTGCTCTGGAGCTGTGGCCGTGCTGGAGAGCTGCTCGTGGGGGGCAACTGGTGACCTCGGTAGGGCATGAAGGACGAGCCGGGAACACCCCCCTTCCCATGAGGTTTTAGTCACCCCGTCACCACCGGCTCATACCTGGCTTTCCACAAGGCTCCCTAGTGGCTGCCATCTTTCTTTCCAGAGGGGAGAAGGCAGAAGGGACCAACACCCTTTCCCCTCCGGGCAGACATGGTGGCGTGGATTAACGCATAGTCCTTTCACTTTTCTGCTCCAAGCTGCTGGGCTCTGCATTAAGTCCTTGTGCTTCTGGGGCCATGGCCGTGCTGGAGAGCTGCTCGTGGGGGGCAACTGGTGACCTCGGTAGGACGTGAAGGACGAGCCGGGAACGCCCCCCTTCCCATGAGGTTTTAGTCGCCCCGTCACCACCGGCTCATACCTGGCTTCCCACAAGGCTCCCAAGCAGCTGCCATCTTTCTTTCCTGTGATAATTTTTTTAATTGATGAGATAATAAAGTAGAAAATTTAAGGTTTGATTAACCCATGGAGGGTATACAAGTGATTGTATCAAATGGGGCCTGAAGAAAGCTATTGATACTGTTCTAGGTTTAGTGGCAGGCTCAATGTTTTCAATCTATTATTTTCTAATCAGTTTATACACTTAAGTATTTATAGGTATACAGAAAATATCAAAAGTAATATATTTGTTTTTCAGAAATCTGCTTGAGCCTTCATGATTCTCCAAATAATATAATTATAATTCCAGAAAAGCAGGTGAAACCATCATGGAAATTGCCATATTTAAGTCACCACTTTCTCTTAAGGTAAAATAGTTTCTTGGAAAATATCTTAAGTAATACATTTTAACTAATTTACTTATTTTGATTTTAGGGCCACACAGTGGTGCTCATAACTAATATCTGGCTTTGTACTCAGGAATCACTCCCAAAAGGCTTGGGAGACCATGTGGAGTGGTGGAGATATAATATGGGTTGGCTGCATGCAGGGCAAGTGGTGTGCCTATTGCACTATCTCTCTGGACCCTGAAATAATATTTTAAATGTTAATAACTGAAACAATTCATCATTCTTTGCTTAAAATATACACAAAATTTGCCGTATCAATTACATAGAGGTGCTTTTTCACAATCATAATTATAGAATAATTTTTCACTTTTTAAAAATACTGTGTTTTTTTAAACCCTTTTTGTTTTTTAGATCAGAATTGGATAATGCACCAGAAAATACTATTTGTGATATTATTGGCTTTGTAACTTTTGTAGGAAGAGTTCAGAGGTCAAAAAAGAAAGGTGAGTTTTTATTTTGAATTTTTTTGAGAAAACCCTACACTGTTTTTCATAATAGTGGTATCAGTCTCACCAATAGTGAGACTGTAAATAGTGGCTCACATTTTCACTAACAGTGCACAAATACTCTTTTCTCTATTCTTATTACACTCACTATTTTTGTCTTTTTGTAAAATAGTGGCTCTGACAAATGTGGTATGTTATCTCATTGTGGTCTTGATTTATACATATTTATCTGATAATTAGTGATATTGAACGTCCTTTAATTTGCCTATTGGCCATAGGTATGTCTTCCTTGTGGAAATTTCTGTTATGATCTGTTCATTTTGAAATTAAATTCTCTACTACTCAAAAAAAAGAAAGGTGAGTTTTTAAAGGTAGAATTCATATAAAGTGCTTCAGTGAATAGCCCTGTGTTCATATTTGTATAATTGATTATCATTTATTTATAATATAATTAATATTATTCATTTATTTTAATATTCTATCCATACAGAAAAACCTGAAGATTTTTTGGTATATCGCTGGATTCATGTTATTGATGGGACTTCAAAAATTCCATTTATAGTGAAATTGTTTTCTACATCTCAGCCAGGAATGTTTGAATATATTTCCCCAAGTACGTAGTTCTAATACTTTTATCTTTTTATTTTGGGAAGTAGGAGCAGTAGCCTAAAAATGCTAGAATAATCCCATTTACAAAGTCACATGATTAATTTAACCAGTGCAGACAATCTAATGCATGTTTACATATTTTCTATATTAATATATTTGCTACTATGTATTAACCATTTTCTAGTTTTCTAATTTTCACTGAAATCAGTTTTTCCAAAAACAAGCATTTCAGACATAACATTTAAAAATTCAGGGACTAGAGAGAGTTAAACAGGTAAAGCACTTGCTTTACACACAGCTGACTCTGGTTTCAACCCCAGTATCCTATATATTTCAGATATAGGATATATATATTCATATATAGATCCAGATATATATCCTATATACTCCAGATCTCTGCTGGGATTGTTTCCTGACTGCAGAGTCAGGAATAAGTCCCGAACACCACTGAAAATGGACAAACAAACAATATAAAACAGAGGCAGGGTGGGATGGGGGGAGGGGTGGGAGGGATACTGGGATCAGTGGTGGTGGAGAATGGGCACTGGTGGAGGGATGGGTATTTGATCGTTGTATAACTGAAACCCAAGCACAAAAAATTGTAAATCTATAACTGTACCTCATGGTGTTTCACTAATAAAAATCTAAAAAAAAAACTAAAAACCACCCAATCAATTTAATCCTTTGTACCATAAGGCCTGTGAGCACTGCTGGATGCAACCCTATGGCCACTAGCACTACTAAACACCACAACATTGCCAGCCTGAGCTTTGAAATATCAGGTCTATACCAGTGAGTGAATATCACTGGGAATATCCCTCAGGCCCCCAGCAATGTTGGGGAGGCCTTTCTGCCCTCCAAAACTAAAAAGTATGAAACAGAAAGGAAATTGTCTGGGTTCATTAACTAAACAACATTTTTTAAAAAAATTTGGGGTTCGGGGACCACACCCAGTGGTGCTCAGAATTTATTCTTAGTGGATTCAAGGGACCATATGGGATGCCAGATCAGCCATGTGCAAGGCAAATGCCCTACCCTCTATATTATCTCTTTAACCCCTAAAATATTTTAATTTAAGTAATCTTGTACCATAATGTAAGTTTCATATGTGCATCATGTTTATATTGTGACTTTACTACTGAAAGTCAATTATTTCCTACACCATACAGTTGTACCGATTTATCCACCTGTTTTCTCCCCTTCTGGTAACCATTAATTGATCTTATATTCTAAAATTTTGTTTTAATTGATCTTATATTCTAAAATTTTGTTTTAATTAGTTTACCTGTTTGGTTTGTCTATATATACCATACATGAGTGAAATATGGTAGCTATTTCTCAGTGTGGCTATTTGTTTCACTAAAATATCTCTAGCTCCAACTATTTTACTGAAAATGGCAGAATTTAATCTTTTACAGCTTAATAGTATTCCATTTTGTATCTTTATCACATTTATCTGTACACACTTAGGTTTTTTCCATTTCTTGGCTATTATAAGTAATTTTAGTCTGAAGACTGTTAAAATTTTCATGAATTCTTTTCAGCACTACATTCTAACAAACAGAGCTGATGAGTCAGGGCATTATGAATTATTTTTAGTATATCAAATTGAATAGTAAGGTGTACAGAAAAGGTGATGTAAGACTTGCCATATACACTAAAGCTTAAGGTATACATGCAAAATATATTTTTAAAACTTGCATAACCAGACTCAAAATTGATATTGTATTAGTTTTTCTAGTATGAAGAATCAGTGATTTCAAGGATCATTGGATTAATACATGAAAACATTATGAAGAAATTATGCTTTTTTTCTCTGTAGAAGATAACTGTTCACACTCAGTTTGTGCCTGATTAGATTCTTGATCTCTTCAACTGTGCATCAAACTGACTTCTGTTAACTGCAGATATAGCGCTATGTATAGGAAAGGTGTTAGATCCTGTATCTAAACGGAAGAGCAAGGGTTAAATCTCTGTTACTCCAAGTGTGGCAAAAGGACTTGTAGCAGCACTATCACCTAGGAGCTTATTAGAAAATAGGAACCTTAGACTTCACACTCAAATTTCTGAGTCCAAATTTGTAGTTTAACAATTGTTCCAGTTGATTCCTATTCTCATTAATGTTTGAGAAACATAGTGCTAGATTCTGATCCTATGTTCTCTTTGAAATACATAAATTATTTCTTATTCTGTAGTGACATATTTTGTGGGCACACAATTGAAAGTTATTAGACTCAACAGTGAAGTTTATAACATGTTTTACCTCATCACTACAAATGAGAGTCGAATGTTTATTACTGGTGAGTAATTTATTTATTTTATTGGAAATGTATTCTGAGTAGCTTTCCAGGCTCTCCGAGAGGGAAAGAGGCTTTTTGGGTGGCCTCTAATCGCCCTTATGAAAGGTACTTTTACTCAACATGATAACTTTATTTTAACTTAAAATAAGAATTCCTTAACAATAGAATTTAATCTATGTAATATATTGTTTCTAGATTTTTAACAACTAAGGCAATAATTTTGTTATTCAAGAACTAGATATGTCTATGATTAATTTTATTTTTTGTTTGATATAAAAGGTAGAGTATTAGAATTTTTTGATAGAGTTAAGAGAGTTTGACCCTATGCCAGTATTTTTGAATACTCAACAAACAAAAAGGTACATCAGATTTTGATCCCTGAATCTCCTATTTTTCTTACATAGCAAGAAGTATCTCATTACATGTATGTGGTTTATCTCTATTTCCTCTCATAATAGAGTCAAAACAAAGATAAATCTTTCTGACGCTGAAGCTATAACGCATCAAGTAGGGTGTTTGCCTTGCACGTGGTCAACCCGGGTTTGATTCCCAGCTTCCCCTATGGTCCCTCGAGCACCACCAGGAGTAATTCCTGAATGCAGAGCCAGGAGTAACCAGGTCAAGATAAATCTTTCCAAATGACAAAGGCAATAGAATAATAGCTAGAAAATTTGTCAAAAAGAGGGTGGTCCTTTGAAAGATGTAACACATCTTTGTCAAATGTTTCATTTTATAAATACTAATATCAAATGGTAAATATGTAATAATAAATTTATAATAATATAATATTTAAATGATAATTTGGGGATACTCCAAAGTGGTGCTCAGGGGTCACTCCTGGCAATACTCAGCCAAACAGGCCAGTGGTCCAGTGCCGATTCTAAGGATGCAATGTTGCTTGGATCTATTTGTGCCAAGGATCATTGGGGCCACTCTGGTGATGCTTGAGAGGCCATGCCATCTGGGAGACTTATATGATATTTTTAAGTATTTTATTTTGTTTTAGTTTTGGTTCACAAACAATGGTGAATAGAACTTACTTATGGCTTGGTGCTCAGGGATCACCCATGGTGGGGCTCAGGGATGCCAGGGATCGAACCCAGTTTAGCCACGTGCAAGGTAAGAGCCCTGTCAGCTGTGCTGTTGCTCTGACCAGAATATTATTGAGTGTTCTAATAAGTCTTAGCTTACCTGCGGTTAACGCGTGGTTTTTATTTTTCTCTTTTTCCTTTTATTTAAATAATAAATTTAACTAAAGAGCCATGATTTACAAAATTATTGATAGATGAGGCATTCAATATTCCAATACCAATGCCACAAGTGTCAACTTCCCTCCATCAGAGTTTGAAGATCCTATTTTGATAGTTAAAAAAATCCAGAGATTGTTTCCTCTTTTTTTCCTGTGGTTTTTAAGTATTCCATATACAGGTCCATTTTAGTCCACTTAAACTCATATGTTTCATTTCCTTTTTGACTAAGGAATGCTCTACTTACTGATATTTTAATGCATATCAAATATAATTGTCTGCTTTGCATATAAATGGATCAACATTGAGAGTATTACATTAAGTGAAATGAGTCAGAAAGAGAGGGAAAGACATAGAAAGAGTGCACTCATCTGTGGAATAGAAAGTAACAGAATAGAAGACTAACACCAAGAACAGTAGAGATAAGGTCCAGGAGGCTTGCCCCACGTCTTGTAAGCTGGCCTCACATGCTGGGTGAAAAGGCAGCTCAGATAGAGAAGGGAACACCAAGTAAAGGGTGTTGGGAGGACCCGCTCGGATTGGGAGATACGAGCCGAAAATAGACTATAGACCAAACATGATGGGCACTCAATACCTATATTGCAAACAACAACATCCAAAAGGAGAAAGAGAACAAAAGGTGGAGTGGGGTGGGGTGGGGTGGGCGGGGTATGGGATGGGGGTGGTGGGGAGGGCTTCTGGGATCATTGGTGGTGGAGAATGGGCACTGGTCGAGGGAAGAGTACTCAATCTTTGTATGACTGAAATGAAAACACAAAAATTTGTAAGTATGTAACTGTACCTCAATGTGATTCACTAATAAAAATAAATAAATAATGTGTATATATATAATTGTCTGCTACATGGTGACTGGGCTGGAGCGATAGCACAGCGGGTAGGGCGTTCGCCTTACAAGCGGCCAACATGGCCGACCCGAGTTCGATTCCTCCGCCCCTCTCGGAGAGCCTGGCAAGCTACCGAGAGTATTCGATATGCCAAACACAGTAACAACAAAGTCTCCAATGGAGACGTTACTGGGTCCGCTCGAGCAAATTGACGATCAACGGGAGGGCCTTTTACCTTTACATGGTGACTTAGCGGACATGACTTTCTTTCCTCAGTGATACAAGAGATTATACTTAACGTATATCAATTTAAATTATATAATATATATAATCCATATGGTTTATTACACTTAGCTATTTTTCTTTTCCCCCACCTTTTGTGTGTGTGTTACCCTTTCTACAAAAGGTCATAAAGGTCAAGCATATACCCGTGAAGACAAAGTAAGACGTTTTTCTCATTGGGTTAGAGAAAAAACCTATAGAGGGGAAATGAATATTTATACTGTTATTGGTGGATATTATGCCTACCCACCCGTGGGTACATTTTCCAAGTATACACATTCTCCTAGAGGTAAATATGTAATTTGTATCCCTTTATGATATGTCTATATGCTATGTTTGATATATGCCATTTTCCATTTATTTTATGTGAGTGTACCAAAGTATAACAGTACTTACTGATAATAATATTAAAGTCTTAAAAGTTAGTATTTTTATTTTATTAAATTGGGAGATGGAAACATTTATTAAACTGAAAGAAGATAATGGAGATATATATTAATTTGATGTCAGTTACTCTACTTTACTGTTTTTGACTGGAGCGATAGCACAGCAGGTAGGGCATTTGCCTTGCATGCAGCCGACCCAGGTTCGATTCCTCTGTTCCTCTCGGAGAGGCCGGCAAGCTACCGAGAGTATCCCAGCCGCAAGACAGAGCCTGGCAAGCTCCCTGTGGCATATTCGATATGCTAAAAACAATAACAACAAGTCTCACAATAGAGATGTTACTGGTCCCTGCTCAAGCATCGATGAACAAAGGGGCAACAGTGCTACAATGCTACAGTGACACAATTCAACACGATCTTTAAGTAAAAATTACACTACAATAAATGGTATATAGAAAACGTACTCATGAGAAGTCTGACAGTAATGACTCACCTTACTTTTTAGTATAATTAAGAAAACATTTTGCAAGTATGACACAGATAATTTGGGGGTGAGGGAAACACCTATCAGTGCTCAGGGCTTACTCCTGACTCTGTGCTCTGGAATTATTCCTGGCAGGCTTGGGGGACGACATAGGGTGCCGGAGATGGGGTGCATGCAAGGCAAATGCCCTATCTGTGATACTATAACGCCAACCCAATAATTTTTTAACTTATGGGGATATTTCATGCATTTGACCTATAATCACCTCAATATTGGCGTCCTCTTGTGCTTCATAATGTCAACAATATGTAGTTTATGGTTGAAAGTGTTAAAATATGTATTCCTATTCAGTATCACTTAGAGATGTGATATGCAAATTATATTCAATATGCAAATCTTTTTCAGATTAGGGCCCTATATTAGAAGACTCTCTCAATTTAACTGAAAAAAGATGCTTTGCCTATTTCAAAAGTTATAGAAGGGGTGCAAGTACAAATAAAAATCCTCTCAAATTTAACTTATATAGCTTATAATTACATGTTGTGAAATTACATTGCAGGTCTAACTTATTTTTATCATTCCTGTTCTTGAAAACTTACAATTTCTTGGAAATTATTTTGCAGTTGAATTGCTCTTGACAGCTCTAAGTGAAGTGAAGAATGTGATTCAAAATGTGCAATATAGGGAACAAAAGAGAATTGCAATTCAGGGGGTAGTTACTGTTATAAAGTTTATCCCCCATAGTGTTGCAACTGAAAGAACCTATGCATCACAAACAGTTCAGGTATGATGCCAGAATTAATGGTCCATCTGTTACTGAGTACATTTTATTCAGAGCTTATATGTACTGGTTCTTTTGGGAGGATTGTTGTTGTTGTTGTTGTTGGTTTTAGGCCACACCTAAAATGATGTTTAGGGAATACTCCTGGCAATGCTCAGGGGATCATGGGATGCTGGGGATCAAACTCCAGCTTATTTTGCAGCCATGTGCAAAATAAGCTCCTACTACTGTGCCATCTCTCCAGCCCTTCACATGCATTGATTCTTAATGATATACACCGAAAAGAAAAAATTATGGTTGTTTTGTTTCCTTCTGGTCATTTGGTAAGGAACAGTCTGGACTAAACATTACAGACAATTATTACTTCTGCCACCAAAACTTGGTAGTTTGTTTTCAATTTCTGCAGAATTCATACCTGTCATGATTATCTTTACCAAAATTCCCAAATGGCATGTATTACACTGTTTTTATATCTTTTATCCAGTCCAGAACTGTAGGAATGATTCTGCAGGAAGCTTTGACCTATGTTACTATGATGGTTATCCTTTCTAGATTCTGTGAAATAGTGAGACTTACAGTGCACTTTTAGACTCTAGTCACCATCCAGACTAGTTAATATTCAGTTTATTTTTTATAATATTCCTACAATTACAGTTCATATAGAAATGAGCACTGAACACAACTTTTCTGTTATAATAATATAAGTATTTTAATTTTCATTAAAATATTAAAAATTTTAAATATAATATGGTAGGATATTTCATAGAATATGGTTTAGAGGTAATCTTCATTAAATAAATGTTATAATTATGAACTTTCATCACAAATCTTAAGATAATGAAAATTGATAATAAATATTTAGAGTTTTTAAAGGGGGAAATAATCTTGTGAATTACTTTAACTTTTTTTCTAAATTTTTGGTTTTAGAATGCTAATCAGCCTTCAACATCCAAAGTGAATGGAGGAACTCAAAGTTGGTATAGGAGAGGTGAAAAGCGGCCAAATGATGTCCCTATGAGATTTCAGTCTGTTCCAGCTACATATGCAAGTTTAATCCCAAGCAGGAAGATGAGAATTGTGCAAGGCCCAAACGCTATACTGTAAGTCACCAGTATTATGTGCACACATATCATATTCATTTTCTCTTGGTTTGTCTCTAACCTATAAAATGAATAGGCATACTAATATCTCTGTTAGTTTTCTATGGTTTCCATAAACATACAACTGGCATTTAAAAATGATTAGTTATCTCACAATTATGGAATCTGGAAGCTAGAAGTCTTTTAATAAGGTATCATTAGGTGGGTTCCTTCTGAAGACTTTGAGGAAGAATCTGTACCATACTTCTCCCTTAGCCTCTAGTGGTATACTGGCAATTTTTGCCATTCCTTAGATTTACAGAGGCATCATCCTAATCTCTGCTTTCATCTGTACATAACATCATTTTCTCTGGGTCCATATCTGGGTCCAAATGTCCTATTTTGATAACACCAGTCCTACTAAAGTAGGGAACCACTCTGATGTAATAGTTTCTTCCACTATGACCCTATCTTAAATTACCCAGTTACATCTGCAATGACCCTATTTTCCATTCTAAGGGTCAGTGAAGATATAATTAGTTACACAATGCTAGTTATATTAATGTTTGTGAGGGTTATAATTCAACCCATAATAGTCTGCTCTCTAGTCCCAAATTAAAATTTCAAATTTGAACATGAAATGTTGTCATATACAAAATATATTCTTCCCATAAAAGTGTCCTCAAAAAGCCTTAACTTTGTAAATAATGACTCTTTAATGAAAATAAATAAAAGATAAACGAACAAAAAAACCTTAATCTATTCCAACATTAAGTCCCAAATCTCTTATTAAATCATGTATGGATTTACACAAGATTTTTTGTTTTGTTTTGTCTTGTTTTATTTCAAATACCCATCCCTCCACCAGTGCCCATTTCCCACCACCATGGATCCCAGTATCCCTCCCCCTCCATACCCTCCATCCCACCCTGCCTCTGTGGCAGGGCATTCCCCTCTGTTCTCTCTCTCCTTTTGAGTGTTGTGGTTTGCAAAAGAGTTAAGGCTGATTTTCAGGGAGAAACGTTGGATGGTTTAATTTCCATTGATCACTTTGTATATATAAGGAGATGTCCTTACGCGGCCGCGCAGTTTGGAAAAAATGTTCTGGTTCCCGTATGCCCGAGCTATGCCTGTAGAGACTCACGGTCACCGGGGTTCCATCTGGAGAAGGCGGAATGCGGCACCTACCCCATCTGGGACCTCCTGGTGAGGTCAGCTCTGTTTGGGACCTGGAGCATTCTCCGGGAGCTGTGGTGCCCTCCAACGGTGTTCTTTGTTGCTGTGTGCTGTAAAGATGGCGCTGGGAGGGGGGGGTGCGGGTTGTGGGCGTGACTTCCAGAATCAGAGGTTGCCTGGGAGCTGAGCAGGCTCCATTGCAGTTTGGAGGAAATGTCCCGGTTCCTGCTTGGCAGAGCTATGCTTGTAGAGACTCATGGTCACCGGGGTTCCCTCTGGAGAAGGCGGGATGCTGCACCTACCCCATCTGGGACCTCCCGGTGAGGTCGGCTCTGTTTGGGACCTGGAGCATTCTCCGGGAGCTGTGGTGCCCTCCAGCAGTGTTCTTTGTTGCTGTGTTTTCTACACAAGGTTTTTTAACCTGAGAAATATACTTTTCTGTGAGCCTGTGAAACTAGACATGTTATCTGTCCAAACTACAGTAGTGGTACAGGCACATAACCTAGGAATCTCTTTTTAAAAGGGAAGCACTGGAAGTAAATAGACATATCAGGTATCAGAAGCAAGCCTGAAACTTAGCAGTGCCAAATTTATTTGATTTTAAACATCAAGAATTATCACCTATTGTGTGCCAGAGAGATGGTATAGTAAGTAAGACATCTTGCATGTGATTGACCCAGTTTCAATCCCTGACATCTTATTGGTTCCTTGAGTATTTCCCAGGAGTAATCAATGAGAAGAGAGCCAGAAGTAACTGCAGAACACTACTGGATAATAATATATCCTCTGGGTAGATGATGTGGCAGCCTCAACCCCTTAGCTCTAAATGATGGCCGGGAAATTAGCCTCACCCTTAAGTCCATTCTTCCTTTTTTTCTTGAAAAAAATCAAATCATCACTGCTGATATCTCTATTGGCTCTTTTGCTGATGAGAATCTGAGAATTCTTACACTCTTCATTCATGTCATCCCACATGTGCATGTCCATTTTTGTTTAAGCTAACAGAATCCCTGCAGTTGATTGATTAGATCCACAAGTCACACATCTTAGCTCTGGTACCAATGGCTGTTCAACAACACTCTTCATGTTTTCTCCAGAGACAATTTTTTTTCACAAATATGGATATATGAGAATTTTCCAATATTGAGGTTCTGTTCTTTTTTTCTTAATCCCTTCAACGTGTTGGTATTTTACTATATGCATCAAGGAAAAATCTGGCTTTGTATTCAATATTTTGTTAGAAATAGTCTTCACCCAAGGACAGTAGACAAAGGTCAGTAGGATTGCTCCATGGTTGGAAGCCTGTCCCATGTTCTGGGAGAGAAGGCAGTTGGGATAGATAAGGAACCACTAATCCAATGATGGTTGAAAGGATCAATTGGGATGGGAGATGTGTGCTGAAAGTAGTTTAAGGACCAAACATGATGACCTCTCAGTATCTGTGCTGCAAACCATGATGCCCCAAACTAGAAAGAGAGTAAGAAGTAAAGTACCTGCTATCGATGTAGGGGATGGGGTGGAGTGGGGGTAGTGGGAGGGATACTGGGGACAGTGGAAAATGTACACTGGTGGAGGGATGGATGTTCCATCATTGTATGACTGAAACTCAATCATGAAAGTATTGTAATGTTTGGTCTATAGTCTGTTTTCAGCACGCATCTCCCATCCTGAGCAGGACCTCCAAGCACCCTTTAATTGGTGGTCCCTTCTCTAGCTGAGCTGCCTTTTCCTCCAGCATGTGAGGCCAGCTTCCAAGTTGGCAGGAGTTTTTGATTCTATGCTGAGCTTCTATCTTGAAACCTTGATGAATTCTCTTATTCTAAAGTTTGTAGGTCTTAAAATTTTTTGTTAATAAAAATTATGTAATCTGAAAATATTTATATATTATTTCTGCCTTTCGAAAAATGACTTCTATTTCTTTTACATCAGGACCTCTAATAATGTATGGATTAGAATTGTTGGTAAAGAACATCTGTGACTCCTTTATCATTTTTACACAGCTTTATCCAGATATAGTTGCTATAGAATATTGTTAAAGTTTAATATGTACAGTAGCATTGCACTGTCCTCCCATTGTTCATCAGTTTGCCCCAGCGGGTACCAGTAATGTCTCCATTATGAGACTTGTTACAGTTTTCTTGTATATTGAATTCACCACGGGGAGCTTGCCAAGCTCTGCCATGCAGGCAGGATACTCTTGGTAGCTTGCCAAGCTCTCCAAGGGAGGTGGAGGAATCGAACCCGGGTCAGCCACATGCAAGGCAAAAGTCCTACCCACTGTGCTATCGCTCTAGCTAAAATATGTACAGTACAATATGGATACACATGTATATTGCAAATGAATACCCCAACAATATTAGCTTTCACATTCATCACTGAACATAACTACTACATTTTTGTGTATAGACTATTTAAGATCTACTCTCAGCCCCTTTGAGGTATAGACTATAGTAATGTGTTATCTGTAGTTACCATTCTATATACATTAGATCCTCAGAATTTACTCATGATTAGAAGTTTATATTCTTGAAGTTTATACTCTTGTATTCATGTCTTCCTGTTTCCCAACTCTTGACAGCTTACATTCTATTATTTTTGTGAATTCAGCTTTATTTCTCATTTTACGTCAGAAGATAAAGTCTCAAGATTTTATCATCGAGAAATCAGCAATTAATTTTGATCATATTAAAGAAGCTTCCTTCTAATTCAAGTTTGCTAAAATTTCTCTTGAATATGATTTTAATTTTATACTGAATCCATTGATCTATTGATTTTTGCTTTCTTTTTAATGTAATTAAGTTACATAATTTCATGTTAAATGCTCGTGCATTCCTCAAATAAGTTTTTTTCTTAAATATTCAGAAAGAATATCTACTGAAACTGTGTGTGAAGTTTTTGATTTATTGCATTTTTGTGTGTAAAGTGTAGTTAGAATTGTCTTTCTTATATGGCTGGCATCAATTTCTGTTTTCCCACATATTAATTAATTAGATGCTTTTCATCACTCCTTGTATTTCCATGCTTCTTTGTGAGATCAGCCTCCTTCTCACTGAAAAATTCCTATCAGCATTTATTTCAATGCAGACAAATTACATAGTCTCAAAAGACTTATTCCCAGGGCTGGAGCAATAGCACAGCGAGTAGGGTGTTTGCCTGGAGCAACAGCACAGCGAGTAGGGTGTTTGCCTTGCACGCGGCCGACCTGGGTTCGATTCCCAGCATCCCATATGGTCCCCCGAGCACCGTCAGGAGTGATTCTTGAGTGCAGAGCCAGGAGGAACCTCTGAGCATCGCTGGGTGTGACCCAAAAAGCAAAAAAAAAAAAGACATTTACCCTAAAATTACTTTTATTTCTAAAGGATAATTAGAGTAGGTTGCAGGTCTGTTTTCTGCTGTTTTATTGCTTCTATATTTTCTATTAGTCTGGAAAATTGTCTGTTAGGAGACATTAAGATAAGCAAGGCCTTAATGCCTGTACTATATGTCTAACCCAGAATGATTATTTAGATAATACTTGTTGCCTGAAAAATATAATTTTTTTATTTAATCATTTTTTTATTAGTGAAACACCATGAGGTACAGTTATAGACTTATAAATTTTTGTGCTTGGGTTTCAGTTATACAATGATCAAGTACCCATCCCTCCACCAGTGCCCATCCTCCCCCACCACGGGTCCTAGCATCCCCCCCCACCCCCCCCACCCCCGTCCCACCCTGCCGCTGTGGCAGGGCATTCCCCCTTGTTCTCTCTCTCTTCTTTTGGGTACTGTGTTTTGCAAGAGAGGCATTGAGTGGCAATCATGTTTGGTCTATAGACTACTTTTAGCATGTCTCTCCCACCCTGGGAAGGTCTTCACAGCACCTTTTATTTGGTGCTCTCATCTCTATCTGAGCTTCCTTTTCACCTAGCACATGTGGCTGGCCTTCAAGTCATGGAGCAAAATTCCTGGTACTAATCTCAGCCATTCCTGGGTGTTAGTCTCCCGTTTTGTTGCTTTATGTTCCCCAGATGAATGCAATCTTTCTGTGTCTATCCCGCTCTTTCTGACTCATTTCGCTTAACAGGATACTTTCCATGTAGTACCACTTGTATGTAAATTTCATAACTTAATCTTTTCTAACAGCTACATAGTACTCCATTATGTAAATGTACCAAAGTTTCTTTAACTAGTCATCTGTTCTCGGGCATTCAGGTTTTTTCCAGATCCTGGCTATTGTAAAGAGTGCTGCAATGAACAAACAATTGCAGATGTCACTTCGACTATACCTTTTTGCCTCTCTGGGATATATTCCCAGGAGTGCTATAGCTGGGTCAAATGGGAGATCAAATTCTAATTTTTTGAGAATCGTCCATACTGTTTTCCAAAAGGGTTGGACCAGCCTGCATTCCCACCAGCAGTGAAGGAGGGTCCCTTTCTCGCCACATCCGCGCCAGCACCTGTTGCTTTTTTTCTTGTGGATGTGGGCCAGTCTCTGTGGTGTGAAATGATATCTCATTGTTGTTTTGATCTGTATCTCTCTGATGATTAGTGATGTAGAGCATTTTCTCATGTGCCTTTTTGCCATTCGGATTTCTTCTTTGCGAAAGTTTCTGTTCATGAAAAATATAATTTAAATGAATAATCACAATATATTTAACATTTTTATCATGATAAATTATTTCATATTGACTTATATTAGCAAATAATATATTCCTGCCCTTTTTGTGTACAGTATCCTGCTTTTTGTAGGTAGAAGTCACTGAAAATATTTCTTCAATTGTTTGTATAGATTGGAGCACTGCAGTTCATAATGAAAGATCCCTTAAATTTCCTTATTTTATTCTTAATTTATCTGTGAGAAAGAGATAGGATAACCATCTCAGTTTTATACATGAGAAGTAATAAAATTTCTTAACTGGGGACTATATGGTAACCTGTGGACCTCTAGGATATTACAGTGGGGTTACAGGTGAAAATCACATAAAGGGGACCACAGCATAAGACAAGGGAGATATGTAGTAGGACACAGGCAACATAGAAAGAAAATAAAGTCAGAAGGGGGCATCTACTAGAAAAAAGTTGAACATTGAAATATAGGTTATCCTATATTTCTTATATTTGTATTTCATCTTTTTTCAATTTCATTAATTGAAACAATAGACAATTATCCCCTCACCTTAGGACTTTTAAGTCACACAGTGTATGATTATATATTCTGGTGAAATTCTCCTGAGCCACTTTTTAATTCTATGTAATATAATGGCAGTGTTAGAGTTTGGAAAACTTTTTTAGTATATTTAAGATGAAAAATTATTTTATAATCACATTTTAAATTTTAAATAGTACCAGTTGTACAAGTTAAGGATGTCAAAACAATTTGTTTAATTACATAGATACAAACAATATGTTTAATTACATAGATATTTCTCCTAGTTATTTTAAGTTCTCTTATTTCTAAAAATATTTTCTAGGATAGAAAAAAGTTGAAAGTACAATTTTTAAATATATCTTTATATGGAGCTTGATAAATAGTACAGGAATTAATGTTTGCCCAGAAAATCACTGAACCTAGTTTGATCCCTGACACTATATATAGTCCCTAGTAGAGAACCATGAATAAGCCCTGAGCATCAAGGTGTAGCCAAACCAAAAAATATGTTTTCATTTTAAGACTCTTTATAGATAAATAAATGTATTTTCATCCATGAAAACTACTTTTTTGTTTATCAACAACTCACTAGTGAAATGAATGCTATTGTGTATAAGATACAATAAATTCACTGATAAAATAAGCAATATGCTACGATATTCTACCATGATACATTTCAGGTTTGCTTTATATTTTTAGAAATATACTAAAAACCCATAATATAGAACTATCTTTAAAAGACAAAATATTTTATTAAAAATTTGTGTAAAAATAAGATTCTAAACTTCAAAATAAGATGTTTTTCCTTTATCCATTTATTTCGGTTCAGTAAACAGCTATTATATGAATATATAAAAATAAATAATGGGCAGTAGGGTTCATGGTAGAATCTGTGGGAGAGACATAGATAACCTGTACTTTCAATATAGTCTGATAAATGCAATGATAGGTGTTTATTCATGCAACTATGATAGCCTATACAGGGAGAAGTGATTACTGGATATAGATCAAGTATGAATTTTAATAGAAAATAATACCTGACATGAACTTTGAACAATAAATAAGAATTAACCAAAGAAAAGGAAAAGTGGCATAGGTTTGTTCTAGGCATGAAGGTTTGAAATAGCTTGAGTCTTATAGAAAATTTTTAAATTAAGTTGTAAAGTTAGGCCAGGTTGTTTTTCAGAATATTTGAATCAAGCAAACATAAAAATAGCCATTTAAACTAATTTTTAAAGTCCTATTATAGACAATGAAAATATATTCCTCTTTTGTTAATATTGAATATAGCTGACTACTTGAAAGTATATTTCACTGAACTGACAACAGTGTTTTATTTGTTATATTGGATATTTATTAATAATTTTAAAATATTTTTCTTATCAACACATGAAACTAAACCTCTATATTATATAAATTGCTTGGTTTGGAATAAGTTCTGAATGGCAGCAACTATTTCTTTTACATTCAAGTTTCTTTATAACTGATGGCTATTTTTCAACATTATTATAGGAATCCTGTACCTCAACCAGAAATTTCTATGGGAGCAAGAGGAAATAATTGTAGCCAACCAAGTCGCTACACATGTAAGTTTTTTTTATTAATAATATTTTATCATATTTATGAAACAAATATATACAGAATTCTGTTTTATTTGATCCTACATTTTGCTTTTATTAGCATAACATAAGTACTTTCAATATATGTATAGTTGTTTTCTTTCTGGTTTTATTTATTCTCACTTAAGTCCTTGTCAAAGTGCTTTATCTCTTGGACGCTGGTGAAGGGACACTGATACGTGGTAGTTGTGATGTTGGACCATTGTGAACCTGAAGCTCTATTATTAAGAGTATTGTAAATCATAGTGCCTAAATAAAATGGGGGTACTGGTTTTAATGTTAGAACAATTTGGTATCGTCCCACAATTAAAGTAAATATAAACAGACTTACATTTTACATATGTGTATAAAATCCTGAATAGTACATACCTTCAAATGTGCTACTTTAGAATAATTATGATAGCTTAATTTTACTTTATTTTATATTAAAATGTAATTGTAGTTGTAGTAGTTATTAGTTGTTGTTCCTTTACTAAAGGATTGACATATTGAATACTGGGTTTATTTCTAAAGTGATTTCAACTTAGTTGTGACAGGCATCCTTAAAGTTGTTTGGCTTAAACCAGATCTCATAACGGTTTAGACTAGACTTTTATTTGGACTAGACTATTAAACACTGTATGTTTCTTGCCACTTGCCTAATTTTTGCATAAGGATTAGCTTTTAGTCAATCTAAGAAATTGAAAACCCATGGCAGTATCCCCCAATCCCACAAAAATAAAATCAGAAAATGTAGGGAAAAGTTATAGCTTAAATACGTAACCAAGCTCATAACAAGAAAGAAAAATCCCCAGGTAAAACCAAAGGCAAACTTCTCATGGGCATTTCTGAACTAGATAGAGACCTAAATTATTAAAAGTAAAAAGTAAAGGCCCTCCCGTTGATCGTCGATTTGCTCGAGCGGGCCCAGTAATGTCTCCATTGGAGACTTTGTTGTTACTGTGTCTGGCATATCGAATACTCTCGGTAGCTTGCCGGGCTCTCAGAGAGGGATGGAGGAATCGAACTCGGGTCGGCCATGTTGGCTGCGTGCAAGGCAGACGCCCTACCCGCTGTGCTATTATGATTGATATATAATAACCATATATAAGGGAGGTTCTAAATGACACTGGTAGAACTAATTTAAAGTTGGACGGTTATAAAGGGTCAAAAAAGTATACCCATCGGCACAGAAAGTATCAAGAAGCTTCCTTGTATTCCTTAGGCAATGAGTAGGAAAAATCAAATCAAAAGAAATGAAGATCCTAAGACTATATGTCCAGGAAGCACGAAAGTGTGGTAACAGTTCAGATGGCTAAAATGTGAGGATACTGAGCTATGGAATTAAAACTATCTGGTCTGGTTTTTTTTTCCAAAAAAAATCCCTAAGATTTTGATAGAGTTGACAGTGATAAGTGTGAAACTGCATAAAAGGAAACTTCTTACAATCCTGAGCATTTGGTATGCCATGGGAAATGTCTACAGAAAAGGAATGCATGGTTTAAGAAATTAAAATGTGTCAATGGGTGGGAATGGGTGGGGAGTCTTGGGCACTTTGGTGGTAGTAAAGTGAGATAACTTTGTATATCAAGAGCATACATGTCAACAGCATTGTAAACATATTAACTATATTAAAAGCCTTTTAATTACAAACTCCACATGTAAATGTAACACTACTCTGAGAGGCAATGCAAGTGGATAGGTATAATACATAGTTTTTACCCCCAGATCTAGAAATACTAGAGCAGTCAGAAATAATGTTTAAATTATGGGTTATAAAAAAATGAATAGTAACTCTAGGTCAGGAAAATATCAGTTTGAAAAAGATAGCTATATATAACATGGGCAAAAGCATAAAGAAATGAAGATAAATATTTGGTGTATTTTTACAGAAGAAAATATACTCTGAACTTGGCATTTAGATATGTAATCCAGTGTCTAGGAGTTATTATTGATTGATATTGTCATACCCTTGATTTATTTGTCTCTATGTCACAGATGAGTAAGATCATTAAATATGTATACTTCTATCTCTGGTTTATTTTCCTTAGTATGATAACCAATTTCATCCAAGTTGCTGTAACTACATGACTATTTTTGTTTCTTCATAATATCCACATAAATATATATACTCATATATATTAATATTAACTACAACTCCTTAACGACTGGAAGATCTTTTACAGCAATATGCCTTAGACCAATATTTTTCAACCTTTCTGCACATGCAGACTGGCAGTTGTGCATGTAATAATGGCAAAATGTTGGAAGGAAATGTTTTCAAACATACAATTATGTATCTAACTAAACAAACTAAATAATGAGGGTTATAGGCCAGAGAGATTAGCTCAGTGGGCGACAGCACAGAATTCACATGTGCTGGGCCCCAAGTTCAGTCCCTGTTACCACATGCTGTCTCACCCCCAAAGTAACACTGAAAATCTATAAAGGATCACTGGGGTAGCCCCAAGGGTCTCTCAGAACCTGTAATCTGAACAGCACTACATTCAGAGGACTTGGCGTTCAACTATCAGGCCTACACAGCCTGAATTAGTTGTGCTGTGAGTGCCCCTTGGAGTCTCTTGAACATTGCTTGGGATGTTTAAAAAAAAGAGTGATGGTTAAACAAGTATATCTTTACTTATTTAGAGACTGTTCTTTATAAGTCTTGGTGAATTAGTTACTGTAGAATTCTGAATGAAGGGAAGTAAAATCTAAAGGAAGTAGCATGCAAGAAGAAATAGTAAGCAAAGAAGGTGGTCAAAAAAACACAAAATTAAAATGAACTAAAGAGAGTATAGGATTTAAGGTGCTTATTCTTATCTGCGGTATGTGGTCCCCCAATCACTAGCAGAAGCAACCCCTGAGCACAGAGCTAATAGTAGACCCCATCAGTGCCAAGTGTGGCCCTGAATATATAATACTAGTAATAATTGCATGAAATTTAAAATAAAGTAAAGCTAAAATTTGAAGAAAATAGGAAGATGAGAATTTAAAAATCCTAAGATCATGGTATTTTGCTAAAAATAGTTGATAAATTATTTAGTCTTTACTTTTAAACATGAAAATGAAGGAGACTGGGAAATAGTACAGAGTTTAGGGCATGTGACCCACCCAGGTTCAATTCCCAACACTACATGGTCACAACTAGTCCTTGGTATGGCCCTGAAGACTCCAAAACTACACCTGGTATGACCCAGGAGACCCCTCACCCACAACTGGTGGTCCTCAGTATTGCATTGCAAGGCCTAAGCAACAATGCATCCTGGGCCCTAAGATTCAACCCCATGCCCCAGTTGGCAGATAGTCACTATGAAGAGTTCCAGGGCCCCGTCACTGCTTGAGAGTGCACTCCCAAATTAAATTAAATTAAAAAGTAAAAGTAAAATTATAGAAGCATGAAAGTTAAAACTTTAAGATGTATGGAAAGAATGAGTGTGGAAAGTATAACTCTCAGATAAGCACAGGAAAAAAGGGAGAAATTATGAAAAGGATATCAGGACAGAATAAACCAGGAAAAAAGCAAAGAAAAGTATGTTAAGAGAAAACACAGGAGCCAGATAAAAAGATTTCAAAGGGCTTGAGTGTGAGCTTTGCATGTAGAAGCACTGGGTTCACTCCACCATACCACATGGTCCCTCAAACACTTCAGACAGTGAACCCTGAACACATAATCAGGAATAGTCTCTAAGCATTGCCATATGTGAGCCCAAATAAAAAACATAAAACAACAAAATCAAAATAGTATGACTTAATTCCAAATATAGCCAAAATTTGGGATGAGCACTATAGTACAGTGGGTAGAGCATTTGCTATGCATGTGGCTGAGCTGGGTTCAATCCCTGGCAACCCCTATAGTGCTCTATGCACACCAGGAGTGATCCCTAAGCACAGAGCTAGGAGTAAGCTGAGCACAGCTGGGTGTAGCCCATAAACCAAAAAGAGAGCAACGGTTTTTATTAAACATAAATGTTAATTTTTCACGTCTTTGTTATAAAATTTTAGTTGTTACACATAAAGACATATCCTTAAGCATTGTTTTATTTATAAGGTTAAAAATGAAAAATGGGGGCTGGAGCGATAGTACAGTGGGTAGGGTGTTTGCCTTGCACGTGGCCAACCCAGGTTCTGTTCCCAGCATCCTATATGGTCTCCCTAGCATCGCCAGGAGTACACTCTGAGTGCAGAGCCAGTAGTAAGCCCTGTGCATTGCTGGGTGTGACCCAAAAAGCAAAAAAAAAGAAAAGAAAAGGAAAGAAAAGAAAAGAAAAGAAAACTATACTTGCCATACTAAAAGAATAGAAAGATAGCCTACCTGTATTAGTATCAAATAAAATATATTTTAAGACAAAAACTAAGTAAAGATAAAGGCAACAGTATATGTTGATAAAAGCAGCATTCTATCAAAAATACAATAACTATATATACACAAATATATTTGATATCATAAGTTAAAGTGTAAGTGGGCTGGAAAGAGAGTATAGAGTGTAAGGTGCTTATCTTGAACACAAATAACCCGGGTTCAATCCCCAGCAACCCATATATTCCCTCAAGACTACCTGGAATGATCCTTGAGCAGAGAAGTAGGAATAGCCCTGAAAAGACCCTAGTGTGATCCCCAAAAAATGTTAAGTAACCTGGTGGACTTAAAAGGAATAACTACCACATTTACAATCATAATGCACTTCTCTCTTGAAGTAAGAGAATAAGGAGACACAAGATTATTAAATATATAAGCACACATATATTGAAGAAAAACAGTCACTTAATCACTTAACTTCCCGTTAGTCGTCGATTTGCTCGAGCGGGCGCCAGTAACGTCTCCATTTGTCCCTGTCGCGTGCTAGTGTAGCCCAATGGCATCTGTTCGCTCTGGGAACATGAAGAGCCTCAAACCGATCGTTCATGATCTTGACGAAGAAGTCTGACCATCTGGTAGGTGGGCGGCCACGCGGTCTTTTGACATCCCGTGGAATCCAGTCGGTAAC